TTCTTCTCATCACAATCCCCATTACATCATTCATAAGACAAGAGTTACACGACCTCATACCCTTTCGGTTGACGAATTATACAATCTTGAGAAAGTTGAAAAAAAAAAAAAAATTTAAGAGCTACAACAAAAGGAAGTGATTGGCGTAGCAGATAGTGACTGATTATAATTAGAGATCTATTATAAGTCCTATGGTTGCTCTGTCAGATAATTTCAAGGATATCACTTCTAGTCCAAGGTACAATGGTCTATCCCTCATAATGCTTAATGTGTGTTTCTTCTTTACAGGCTGTCGTGAGGAGGGGTTGGACTTTCTATGCTTGAAACTGCAGGACTTGCAGCTGGACAACTGGATGACCTATCACTTATCTGTCGTGAGGTTAGGGTTTCTCTGCTTGAAACTGCAGGACTTGCAGCTGGACAACTGACCTATCACTTATCTGTCGTGAGGAGGGGTTGGACTTTCTATGCTTGAAACTGCAGGACTTGCAGCTGGACAACTGACCTATCACTTATCTGTCGTGAGGAGGGTTGGACCTTTACGTATGCTTGGGAAACTGGCAGGACTTGCAGCTGGACAACTGACCTATCACTTATCTGTCGTGAGGTTAGGGTTTCTCTGCTTGAAACTGCAGGACTTGCAGCTGGACAACTGACCTATCACTTACATTCGACTTTGACTGCGCGGGAAACACATCTGTCCAGACTGTAACGTGTCGCCCATGCGTTAAACCATCTTGGATACCTGGATACCGCATACGACAACGCAGAGACAGAAGATACGGCATAGGATGGCGTCTAGGACCGTGAGGTTCATCTCAGGAGCCGACCAGATGGTCATCTGTCCATATGACCACCATCATGTTATCCACAGCCGAAACCTAGGCAAGCACATCCGGAAGTGCCGGAAGAACTACACAGGGCCAGAGTTGGCGGTCTGCGCCTTCAGTGCTGTGCACAAAATGCCCCCCCCCCCGGAACTTCTCGCGCACCAGGCCAGCTGCCCATATGCCAAGTATGATGTCTATGCCGCGGCTCCCGAGTAGGGATGAGCTCCAGCAGAGAGAAACTCGAGAAACCCACCAAAACCAAGCCCGAAGGGACGTAGAAACGAAACGGAAGGCCGAGTGTAAAAGGCGAAGTGCTGAGAAAGGGGGGATCTCGGAAATAAACCAAGCTAGCTAAAAACAAAATGCTAAACATACTGGACAGTCTAAGGAATACATTAAAAGTGCTCAAAATCTGTTAACTAAACTACATAAAAGTGGTAATCATCATAGGAAACAATGACAGGAATAAGCTTTTAAGCAAGATCTAGATCATAAACCTAAACCTACTGAACAATGTAATAAATGCATAAAAGGGCGGCAACGTCTTAACAACAGAAAAGTATTCATGATCATAGAAAACAAAGGCAGCAAGCTTATCTGTCGTGAGGAGGGGTTGGGCTTTCTCTGCTTGAAACTGCAGGACTTGCAGCTGGACAACTGACCTATCACTTATCTGTCGTGAGGAGGGGTTAGGGTTTCTATGCTTGAAACTGCAGGACTTGCAGCTGGACAACTGACCTATCACTTATCTGTCGTGAGGAGGGGTTGGGCTTTCAATGCTTGAAACTGCAGGACCTGCAGCTGGACAATTGACCTATCACTTATCTGTTATCACTATGAAATGCCAGGGTCTAGCATCCAGGCTAACCGATTTGTAGACAAATGTTCATTATTTTGTCACCCTATTATATTTATACGATTACACACCTATAACAGACTTGTAGACAAATGTTCATTATTTTGTCGCCCTATTATATTTATACAATTGCACACCTATAACTGACTTGTAGACAAATGTTCATTATTTTGTCACCCTATTATATTTATACGATTACACACCTATAACTGACATGTAGACAAATGTTCATTATTTTGTTACCCTATTACAGACCTATGTTCCGAAATCTCTATGTTCCGATATCTCTATGTTCCAAAATCTCTATATTCCGAAATCTATATATTCCGAAAGCACGATGTTAAATGACACAGGTATCAACCTACCCGAAGGCTATTACTAGATGCAAGATGTATATAATATTGGTTACAGACATACTAGTAACTACTAATAATTTTATGAATAAGTGCGGAATAAGTGCGTTCAATCCCCATGTAGCTACATTTAGTGGATTGGCATTTTCACAATTTCGTATCTAAAACTTGTGTGTTCAACTTGAAGTAAAAAGTAAACTGTTTATATTTTCTAATATTGATTACAGACATACTAGTAACTACTAATAATATTATGAAGAAGTTCAATTCCCAAACTGTTTATATTTTTTGGATTGGCATTTTCACAATTTCGTATCTAACTAAAACTTGTGATTCATTCTCCCTGGAAGTGAAAAAAATTCCAGCCGACAACACTACATGCTACCCGCACTCAAGTGCAATTATTTCAGAACACACGTGTGAGACAAAGCTTCACCAGACATGTCACCACAACTTCGGAGGGGACTAAACTGCTTATCTCGATGGGGGGAATGAAACCGGCACTAAAAAGCGTGACGGTGAGCCAGTGGGCCATTGCCAACACGAAGATCATGTATAAATTGCTGTCCACCGCCAAATTGTCTTCTTCTGCCTTGCACGACTACATGGCCTACACGGTTAAGATTCTGGAGCTCAGTCAGCGCTATGTCTGGGTGTCTGTGTTAGAGTTTGACAGGGAGTACCATACCCTGCAAGCCAAATACAACTTTCGGTGGGGTGCGGATTCCCAGCATCTCATGACACAGGATTCAAAACATTTATTTTGTGTTGAAGAGAAGTTTGTTTAATATCCAAGACATTTGTACTTCTTGTGAAACAGTAATAATCATTATAGTAGATATTTTCGTAGGTCTAAGGTTAGAAGCCATACCCATCGCCCTTTCCTTTTAATGGGCAATGGCGATGAATGTGATAGTAATTCCGTTTATTAATTATCTTTCAAAATCTTCCCAATATCCTGGTGTAAAAGTAAGCCCGAGGACACTATATAATGTCACCTTGGTATGTCATATTATCCCTCAACAGATGTGTGCCCAGGCATCAGGTGACCTGGCTCTGCTGCTGGTAATGTTGCTAGGAGTGGCCCAACGGTGTGGCCCATGGATCCGATGCTACACTTCAAGGATTGTGACGATGGATGCAGGTGCCTGTATCTGGCGAACACATTGCTCTTTCAGCTTGTACATGCCAGGACACGTGCCAAGTCTTTCGAAAGACAATGGAGGGAGCCATCATCAGTGGCAGGATATCGTCTTCAAATCTCAGAAGTTTTATTTAGCAGATAATAAACACGTCCTTGCACCTCATTGTAGATACGGGCAACCACCAGGTGGGATGAAAACCTGGTTCACATTAAAATATATATGCTCACTTTGAAGCCGAAACGTACATGTAGTTCGTGAACGTTACTAATGTAAAGACTACAAGGCCTACTGTCTACAGAGGTAGTGGATATCGCTGCTGGATGTGAGCTGTTCAGGCCTATTGTTGGCTCTTGGTACTTCATATTCTTGTCGGGTTCTATCCCAACATACCGAGGACAGGAATTTATTAAGACCTTTCTCCTTGACCAACGGGACATGAAGGGAGGCTGGAACAAGTTAGAGCAAAGTGCGTATGATGCGTACGTCTGTGGCAAGACCATAATATTGTATGTATATTTGAAGATCCCGAATCTAACTCAACCCCTTGCAATCGTCAGAACTATAAAAGGGTTGAGTCATTTCCTGGCAATCTATACCACCAGCGAAGCTCTGTGTAGAAGGCCTTCACCTGGTGAGTAACGTTTCATCCTAATTCCCATGACTAGATGGCAATCTATACCACCAGCGAAGCTCTGTGTAGAAGGCCTTCACCTGGTGAGTAACGTTTCATCCTAATTCCCATGACTAGATCTCATCTATATTATATAAACTTAAGGTAACAGATTCGGATCAGGGTGCCAATTTTTTGTCGAGTACGATTCAGGGTTTGTGTATATTGTACGGGGGTGCGAAGAGCCACACTACGCCCTATCATCCGGCCGGAAACGGCCAATGCGAAAGATTTAACAGGACGCTCTTGGATATGCTGGGTACCTTGACGAAACAAAACGACAGAAACAAAACGACACACCAGAACACACCGTTTGCTTGAATATCGGTGGGAGGAGTTGAGGGAAGGAGAAAAGCCAAATGTATATCCTCTGTGGTCAGTTCTTCTCTGGCTGGAAATGTTAACTTCAGAAGAGTTTGGTTTTTCATTCTTCTTAAAGGCTTGATTTTAGCATACATTAAATGGTATGGAGTGCGGAGCAGGGATGAGGAAACTTAAGCTACGGAAAGTGAGTCTTAATGGTGATACGAGCTGGATGAACCCATGCCAAATCCTCTCTAATATCAGTAAACCATCCCCACATACCACAGCAGACATCGTTTACATTCTAGATTGCAATGTCTATGCAATGGATGCGTTGCTGTCTCTCGGGCTGAGTGTGTGGGAGCAGGATGTTATTCCACACTTACAACACGTGGTTCACTTTCCCTACTCAGTGGAACCATCTGAACACTAGAAGACATTAGCGGATTGACAATTGAGGGAGTCAGAGCGTACATTACAGAAAATGTCCCACAGCTCTACCATCTGATCCGATCATTCATGAACAGTGCAAATCAAGTGGATGACGGATATTCCTCACTCATGGTAATCTCCCCCATCACCCATGCACGTAACCAGAAATGCAACATTCTCCAAACAATTATCTCGCTGTACCTTCATGACAGTCCCAAGCCAATGGGCACCCATATCACTGGTGCTATCGACCATGGGCTGAACAACATATACGCCGCCATCGATGTCCAGAACTTCCCACATGACACCAACCTAACCATCGCCGTTTAAAATTAGACACATGCATTTATATTAATCGATTCGGTAAGATTTAGGTGAAAGATGCATGATTATAGTTTTGTAATGTTTTCGTTGCACTATAGGTGTCTGCTCATGTCAACCATGGTCCTGAGGACGAGATCATCAATGCGAGAGCCATCGCATGTCGGATGCTGGCAGCTGTAGACAACGCACCGTCCCAGTCGGTGAGGAGGATTATCCTGGATATATGACCAAGTCGTACAAGGGGAGGAGAACTTGGAAGATGTGCCAATACTCCGGACAGTCCGAACCCAACTGGAGCGTCGCCGGACATCCCACGTCCCCCCAACGGTTACTTTTGGGGCGCAGCCCAAAAGGCTTAATTAGATACACATACTACTCGCACACAGCATGCTGGGTAAACAGCAGGAATCCCCTCAGTCCATTCCCGACACGCTGGCAACAGGGAGCAATTCTGTACTTTGAGCAATTCTGTACTTTGAGCAATTCTGTACTTTGAGCAATTCTGTACTTTGAGGGAGCGATTCTGTAAGGTGAAGAAAACTCGAGCGGATCGGAAGAAAAAGTGCCCGGGTTGCGGACAACCCACAGCCCCAGCCCAACCACTTTGGAGGATGTCGTCATCCCAGACGAGTGGGCGAGGATATGGGGAGGACGACAGTTCCTGAGCTACCAAGACGACGACTTGGGAATCCTTGTCTTCGGGACAAACAGGAACTTTCGCAAGCTGCGCCATTGTTCTGTGCTATACATGGACGGAACGTTTAAGACATGCCCTAGACCGTACAGCCAGTTCTTCACCATCCACGGGCAGTACCATGGAAGAGCCATCCCGTTCGTCATGGCGATGATGACGACCAAGACGGTCGGCGCATACCGCCAGGTCCTCCAGCATGTAACAGAGAAAGTCTTGGAGGAAACAGTACATGAGCTGAATCCGCGGATGATCGTGTCGGACTTTGAGTTGGCAATCATCTCCGCGAACGAGTCCGAGAATGCCACTGTCTCTGGACGCTATTTCCAGAAATCGTCATTCACCTCTGAACGCTAGCCTGAGAAGACACGACAAAACTACTCTGCACTCTACACTACAATCAAGGAGCTTCATCAACAAATGGATCCTGATGAAGGATATGGGAGTGATACTGAACTCGATCAGGGAGAGGTAAGTGAAATAATTGACTAATTAGCCCTTTTTTTAACAAAATATACGACTCGTTAAATGCTTTACGATCAGATATTATCCAAATCACCACACGTAGTATGTTTCCCAAATATATGTACCAGGGACACAGATGCTTCAGATTTTCAACAAGACTGCATCACTCTCTCCAGGTGCTGAGGAAATTCTGTTTTCCTGCTCCTGCAAGAAGGCTGCCATGTAAACAGCAGTGCTGACATTGTGTATGCGAACAGTAAAAGAGAGATTACCTGAGTTCGCAAAACGAGAGAGGGCAAGGTACTGCATCCACAGCAGATGCATACAGGAAATCACAGAAGCCTTTAACCTGCACACCGATGCTGAGGAAACCCCAAGTGACGACGAAAATTCCAGTGATGACGAAGGGGAGACGACACTTTCCAGATCTCCACAGGCTCTGCAGACAAACCCGCGAATAATAGCAGTGTATGTCGAAGGGACTGGCTACGGACTTGTAACACACGAGGGCCCAAAAAGTAGATTCCTTGGCTTGCCGAAGTTGTAGACGGCAAATTCACAACTGCTGCCACATTCACCACTTTAGAGACTATTTCCAAAGACAGGACGTTCCACTACCAGAGGAGCAGCACACTGCAAGAGCCTCCAAGCCCTAGGATGGAGTGTCGTTCCCAGTAGTTTTTCCTCAACACACTCATCTGTACAGGTACTTGCTTCCATTGTCTTTGTCTACTTCAATACTTGGTTTACCTTTGTATCTGTAGTCCCATTATATGTTACATTGCTGTGTATCTTATACCGCAGTTAGTCAATAAAATTACATCAAATATAAATCGACTAGGCCTTGGCGTTACTTAGAGTGAGAGTCTAGTAACTAGTTCCTTAGAGTGAGAGTCTAAGGATTTGTATCTGTAACCGTAATCGTAACTGTAGCCCAAATTGTTACATGGTTCCCACATGGAATTATATTTGCGCTGTGACCATTGCCTACTGCGGTATATATGATTGTAATTTTCATAGAGTCCGTACTTGTACTTTTTGGTCCTGGTGTAAAAGATTGATTTGAAGCTGTGTTGTTGCACCTGACCGTTCGTAAATCTGTTGCCTTGTCCGGCCCGACCGTGTTACAAAAGTTGTACTGTCCCCACATCTGACTGGAGTTGAATTGGTTCCTACACCGGATCGT